TTCATTTCAGCAACCAGGAAAGCTAGGAGGCTGATACTTTGGGTTCCTACCCGGTGTGTCACCCGGTGTGTCACTCTCCCGTTTCAAGATCATCCCCCACACGAACCTCGACCTCGCGTACGGACCCCCGAAAAAAATATGCAGATTCCTTTATCGGGAAACGATTTTGCGAACCAGGCGAGGTACAAAGCTGAAACTTTGCAGAAATATTCCCTGTCCATGCGCGAACTAAAGATTTCAAATGCAGCTGTCGCGCACTGCAGCGCGCACGATCTCTTCGAAGTTTGCAACTTTGTACTGTGCTAACTCGAAAATTTGCCCGAAAGCAGTACCTGAAATTTTGTCAGCATATTTGTCGCCCATACGGGAAATCGTATACCTAAAATGAGCACTGATTTGCACTCGCGTCACGACTTATGGCACTTCAAAGATATTTGTAGCGAAGTAGATATTTCGCTTGTCGGATAAGTTGCGAGGCTGAAAATTCGCTGGGGTATTCTACTCTCAAGTGTAGCCGTAATTCTGCTTGGAGGTGAAATTCCCCGCAGGTAGGCTTGAGAAATACTTAACTTTACCGAAAAATCAGAAACGAGTGCGTTTTCCACGAACGACCGCCCTCATCCAAATATGTAAATGAACATTAGTTCATATGCTTACTTGGGTTTTTTGGCAAACGACCGCTCGAGCAATACTTCCACTTTTTAGTGAACTTGAAATTTGCATTTTTTTAAAAAGCGAGCGTTTTTCCAAAAAACGACTCAGCTTCATGCAAAAAACTGGCAGTCATGTACCTGGGGGTCCATGCGGCTCTATGGGTGCAACACCTTTATCCCAACCGATGCCCATTCTGCTGCGTGCCGGAAGAAACCAAAGCATGGCCAATATGAGCCCAAGTGTTTGGGTTCAACGCAGGGATTATTCTTGCTGTTAGCGACCCGCGAGTTTAGTGCAAAAACGCATGGTCGTACCGGCAAGCCTGGTGCGTTCCAGTCCGGGATGTAGTTGTTCATCACGCTAAGCGCATGTTACGCCAAGTAATAGAAAGGAAGGCACATTTTTTATGCGTTTTTGCGTATGTGCAAAAACGCGTATTGGCAAGAGGCTGTCTGTGTGTCTGTGTGTGTGTCTGTATGTTCGCACTTTTTGTCACCCACTTGCAACTCGAGAACCAGA